AAAATAAGTTAAATAAAAAAAGAAAAAAAAATACACGCACCGAACAAAGGAAGGGAAGGAGGTTTTTTATCGGGCATTCTATGAGGCCACGTGTCAAGTTTAAAGAGACCTTCCTATTTTCTTCTAAAATAAGAAGGTAGATAAAGGTTTGCTATTTACCAAAAATAAAAGTAGAAATCCCGCCTCAAATTTCAGAATTACTACAATAAGTAATTATTTATAAAATTTTAAATATCACACCTAAATGTGTTTTAAAAAATTTTGAAAAACAAATATAAATCAAAACATTTAAATGAAACAATGACAAAAAGATTATTTTAGATACATTCAATATTGCCTAGATGAGATTTGTAATGAATAGTAAGCATTGTACATGTGATTTAACTAATCTCTCTCCTATTCATATAAGAGAAAATGTAAGACAATTCTAGGCCGACACGTGGAATTTTTCGTGTACGCTAAAGCCCCTGAATTTGCTGTCTTTTTACATGTCCTGCCACTAAAATTCTCACCTTTGAAGTTGCAGTTTTGAATGGCCCTGCATTTTGCATCTATTTACAGAAGCTGCCATTAAAATCCAAGTCATACCACGCGTTTTTCACAGCTTGAGGCTGAAAATGTTGTAGAGTTACAATCCTGTCCTTCAAAGACCGGTCTTTCTGCGGTTGTGTGTTTAAAACGGAGAACTTTTGTTTGATTTTTTTTTCTCCACAAATTAGACCAGTACTTCTTGCGTGCATATTATTTACTCGCTTTGTCAATTTTGTGATAAATTAGGGGAAAAACGGGTGCGGGCCCACTAACATGAAGCGCACCAAAGCGGGAAAAACCCAAATGAAGCCCAAGTGGGATTCCATCCCAAAACCAATTGGTGGAAGGAGGAGTGGCCTATTAGACTTATAAGGTGGGTCTATTTTTCATGTATGAAACTCACAAGTGATATACTAACACGCCTTTTCACTTGTGAGTCCTTAGAAAGCCCAAGTCCTACTAGAAACAGGCTCCCCTAAACGGGTACGTGGACCCAAGCCCTACAGGCTCCCATACACGAGTACGTGGGCCCAAGCCCTACTAGAAACAGACTGGGTAAACGGGTACGTCATTGCACGGTCTCACATAGAACCAGCTCTGATATCATGTGAGAAAACTAGGGGAAAAATGGGTGCGGACCCACTAACATGAAGCGAACCATAAGCGGGGAAAGCCCATATGAAGCCCAAGTGGGGTTCCATCCAAAAACCAACTGGTGGAAGGAGGAGTAGCCCATTAGACTTATAAGGTGGGTCTATTTTTCGTGTATGAAACTCACAAGTGATATTCTAACAAATTTGTTTGCCACTTGAATTCAGGTTTTGCTGCAAAAAAAAAAATAAATAAATAAATAAATTAATAAATAAATAAAATAAAAAATAAAAAATTGTAACATGAAGAACACTTGCAGGTAATGATTCCCTGCAAAGGGTGCTGTGTCTAAGAGATGGAGATCCTTCATCCAAAGCAAAGAGTTCACCACTGTTGGAAAACTGGCTGGTATGCTTGAGGAATGGCTTTATATATTGACTCTGGATGCTGAAGGGAAAGGGAGCCACTCGGAGGTTCTAGATTGTCTTGGAAACAAACACCGGCGACTTCCAGCAATGCCTGGGCCTGTTAAGGCAGGATTTGGTGTTGTTGCTCTCAATGGAATGCTTCTTGTCATTGCTGGATATTCCGTTGTAGAAGGGACTGGTTCTGTCTCAGCGAATGTTTACCAGTATGATCCGTGTCTGAACAGGTTAACTCTATTGTTCTCATATTTTTGTTGCCCAAACAAATTAGTTTTATTGCTTTTTTTATATTGACTTTTAGTTCTGGAATAAGTCATGCTCGTGATTTATTATTAGTTGAGACATCCGAGAGCTGCTGTTGAGAACATGTCCTCAAAATTGGATTGTCAAATAATTTCATCTCTTTTTGGTTGCATTTGCTCCCTATAGCCATCCATCTATCAAACTAGATTCCAACACCACACTACAAATAAAACGTTTTGTATTGTTTTTATTTCGCTTTTCTGTTTACGTTAATATTTTGTAAGTCAGTTGCTTGACTTTCCAAAGCATACATGCATGAGTTTTTTTATTTTATTTTATTTTATTGTATTTTTTTTTTACCTCAGGTGGAGCAAGCTGGCGAGCATGAATGTGGCTCGCTATGACTTTGCGTGCGCTGAGGTGGACGGGCGGGTGTATGCAGTCGGGGGTTGCGGGGCAGAAGGAAAGTCCCTCTCGTGTGCAGAGGTGTACGACCCAGATGCGAATGCATGGGCGCCTATCGAGGGCCTTCCCAAGCCGCGTTGGGGTTGCTTCGTGTGTGGGTTCAAGGGGCGGGTGTACGTGATGGGTGGGCGGTTGAGCTTCACGATTGGGAATTCACGGTCAGTGGAGGTGTACAATCCCGGGAAGGGTGCATGGGTGCAGATGAAGAAGGGTGCGTCATGGTCACAACTCATGCAGTGGTTGGGGACAGGCTGTGCTTCATGGAGTGGAAGAACGAGCGACGTCTCGCGGTACTTACACCAGCAGATAATTTCCTGGAAGCTCGTGCCCGTCCCTTTGACGGGGAGCTCAAGCATCGATTTCCGCTTTGGGATATTGGATGGGAAGCTTATGTTGTTCTCAATGTAGGGAGACCCGGGGTATCGCACGCTCAAGTACGACCCTGATGTGGGGCCTGGGTCTGAATGGGGGACATCTCGGATCAGCCCTTCGGGGGTTTGCCTCTATTGTATCACAATCGAGAGTTGAATCTGATTGCACTCTTTTTATTTATTTTCAATTCTTTTATGTGGACCATATTATGTTTTTATTTCAATCCAATCTCTCCCTGACTGATTAATGTGGAACATTGACCTGGCTTCATGAGTTGGAGCAGATTATGTATGTATCTTTTCAGTGTGTATAATGGACAATATACCTTTTATTTACTACATGATGTATTTTCTTCCGGGTGTGGGGTAAATTTCTGGTATATTTGTCGCCATTAGTTCATTTAATGTGTTCGATAGATTAAACTAATATCCTATCTATATGTATTGAAACGCAATTAAGCAGTGGGGGTGGGGTACATGCCATATTTTTTTGTGTCCATGTTTTTTTAATAATTATATAATAATTGAAAACTCAAAATAGTACATTTTAAGTTCACAAACAACTGACATCAGAATAAAATCTGAAGTACCCCTGGAAAAATATAGGCTATCAAAGGGGTACAAACTCTCTAAATGCGACACAAGCACCCGTAAAACGAAAGATCTACAAAGTGTGTACAAATAGGGATGTGAACAAATCAAAATTTTTCATTTGAATCGTTATTCGAATTTGGTATTCGTGATTTGTATTCGAAAATTCTGAATTCGAATTCGAATAAATATAGTGGTATGTCAAAACCTACTAACCGGCTAGAATTGGCTCGCTCGAATAAGAATAGTGGTACGTCCACCAAAACACCGTAGACGAGAATCGAAAGCGCGGACCCACCTCCAGGATAAAAAAACGAGACGGTAACCTATTCCAGAAAGTGGACCCCCACCTCCCCAATCGAGACCGTCGAAGTTATAAAAATGATGAACTTAAGAACAAAAGCTTAAATCGTCAACCCTAACAACACGAAAATTGAGCGTTCTCGTGAAGAATCGGGTAGAGCCAAGAGAGGCGGCGAGCATTTAAAGCCCCATGTCTTTAAAGGAAAATTCTCAATCTATATATAAATATATATAAGGGTTTGGTATTTACCAGAAACAAAAGTAGAAATCCCGCCTAAAATTACAGAATTACTACAATAAGTAATTATTTAAAAAAATTTTAAATATCACGCCTAAATGTGTTTTAATAATTTTTGAAAAACAAATTTACATCAAAACATTTAAAGCAAACAATACCACAAAGATTATTTTAGATACATTCAATATTGCCGAGATGAGATTTGTAATGAATAGTAAGCATTGTACACGTGATTTAACTAATCTCTCTCCTATTCATATATGAGAAAATGTAAGACAATTCTAGGCCGACACGTGGAATTTTTCGTGTACGCTAAAGCCCCTGAATTTGCTGTCTTTTTACATGTCCTGCCACTAAAGTTCTCACCTTTGAAGCCGCAGTTTTGAATGGCCCTTCATTTTGCATCTATTTACAGAAGCTGCCATTAAAATCCAAGTCATACCACGCGTTTTTCACAGCCTGAGGCTGAAAATGTTGTAGAGTTACAAAATTGTCCTTCAAAGACCAGTCATTCTGCGGTTGTGGGTTAAAAACGAAGAACTTTTGTTTGATTTTTTTTTCTCCATAAATTAGACCAGTACTTCTTGCGCGCATATTATTTACTCGCTTTGTCAGTTTTGTGAGAAAGTAGGGCAAAAACGGTTGCGGACCCACTAACATGAAGCGCACCAAAGCGGGAAAAACCCATATGAAGTTCAAGTGGGATTCCATCCCAAAACCAATTGGTGGAAGGAGGAGTAGCCCATTAGACTTATAAGGTGGGTCTATTTTTCATGTATGAAACTCATAAGTGATATTCTAACACGCCTCCTCACTTTTGAGTCCTTCGAAAGCCCAAGTCCTACTAGAAACAGGCTCCCATAAACGGGTACGTGGGCCCAAGCCCTACTAGAAACAATATGGGTAAACGGGTACGTCATTGCACGGTCCCACATAGAACCAGCTCAGATACCGTGTAAGAAACTGGGGGAAAAACGGGTGTGGGCCCACTGACATGAAACGTACCATAAGCGGAGAAAGCCCATATAAAACCCATATGAAGCCCAAGTCGGGTTCCATCCCAAAATCAATTGGTGGAAGGAGGAGTAGCCCATTAGACTTATAAGATGGGTCTATTTTTCATGTATGAAACTCACAAGTGATATTCTAACAAATTTGTTTGCCACTTGAGTTCAGGTTCTGCAAAAAAAAAAAA